GCCATTTCCGCCGCTGCTTCCGCTGCATCCAACAATGCTGCTGTTTGAGGTGTTGTTCAATTGCAGTCCGCTGTCTGTGGACAAGAAACCATTTTAAACCATTATTTATATATATAAAAAAACATTTTAAACCATTATTTATATATAAATAATTATTTCGAGAGTGCAGATTCACTCACCAAAGAAAATCACCATGTGGCAAATGAGATGGAAAACAAGCAACATGAACTATACTATCAATAGGGGACTTTCCTGGAGGAAAGGCCGGCTGAATTCGTTAGGGCATAATGGTAATTTTTGTTCCTACTTTAGTTAAATGATTCATTTGACGCGTGGAAATACGCTACTGGTGATTGATTGATGGTTGCTTGGGTGAAAAATTGTCAATCATGTGGGCTGGTTTGCACCAGCAGCCCACTCAACATGTGGATTTTTTAGAGGTGATTGGGGATTGAGACAAACACGGAAATTTCGCTCTTATTGCCATTCAATTCCGGTCCGTTCGAAGTGAAAATGCGTCCAACGTGGGCGAGTTATGTGGAACTGGCGGCGGAGTAGAAACCTGTTTGGACGTGATTATTCTGACTGATACAAAGGAACCCAAAAAATGGGCACCATGATGCAGTCAGGCAGTTGGCGTTCACGATTCTTTTTCTTATTATTCTATATTATTTCTTATTATTCTATATTCTTAGTCACTGAAAACCGATGGGCGAGTTGAATATGGGTCAGTGTATTAGAAATACATGCGTTATCAAACACACTTTTTGTCAGCTAAACCGCTGAACAATCGCGACACAAACATGTAAAGTAAAAACTTGTCGTTGGAAACTCCAAGTGCGATTAATGGAATAAGGATGGATTAGTTGAGAATCAAATGCGTCTGCCTTTGAAATAATTTTCATTGACTTGCCCGATAATTGTTGATTCACTCTAATCGTGCTGATAAAGCCATGCTCAATGTTTAGTGTTCATACACATTTTTTCGCATTGGACAATGATTGTTGCTCATGCCATAAAACCACACACAACACATTGAATAGCAGTAAATGATCGGTTTTTATCAGCGAATTTTGCAATTTATTGATGGAAGAATACTGTGAACGCCCTGAAAGACGCGCTGAAACTTTATGAATTAATAAAAAAAAATAGAATTTTCACCAATTTCCGAGCTTAGGGAATCTGAAGCGTTGCTTGTAGATTGGCGGTTTTGCACTTGTTAAGCCCAAGTTTAATTTTTGTCTTTTTATATTTTAATTCAAATTTGCCCTCTTTTTAACCATCTTTCTTCACAGTGCAAAAATTCCACAGTTGTACTCGCTTCGGTTGGAGTGTAGGATTTTTTTAAGCGTCGCGTACAGTTTTGTAATTTTTTACTTTTTAATCCTAGGTTCAAGTTTATGTTTTTAAATTAGGCGATTATTGGATTTTATTAAAATTTTCGTTCTTTATTTAGCCATTGTTCCTCTTCATATTGTCAACATTTCAAAGCTCTATTGAACCTGGTTTAGAGTGTGCGAATTTCTGCGTTTGGCGGTTGTTCACTTTTTAAGCCTAAGTTTAAGGGTTTAGGTTTAAATTGGCCGATTTTTGGAATAAATCGAAAGTTTTGTCGCCTTTTTAGGCATCTTTCCTCTTTATATTGTCAACATTTCAAAGCTCTATTGCATCTGGTTTAGAGTAGTGTATGAATTTTTGAAGCGTTTCTTGCAGATGGGCGGTTGTTCACTCTTTAAGTCCAGTTTTAAGTGCTTAATTTTTTTATTTGGCAATTGTTAGACGAAGTTTCATTTTGCGGCATCCATTTAGCCATCCGCGCTCTTTACGGTGTAAAAATTTGAAAGTTCCATTAGCTCTGGTCTGGGGTTGACGAATTTTCGAAGCGTCGCTTGCATATTGGCGGTTGTTCACTGTTTAAGCCTAAGTTTAAGTGCTTAGGTTTAAATTAGCCGACTTTTGGATTAAATTGAAAGTTTTGTCGTCTTTTTAGCCATCTTTCATCTTTAAAGTGTCAACATTTCAAAGCTCTGTTGGACCTGGTTTAGAGTGTGTGAATTTTTGAAGCGTTTCTTGCAGATGGGCGGTTGTTCACTTTTTAAGTCCAGTTTAAGTGCTTAATTTTTTTATTTGGCGATTGTTGGACGAAGTGTTATTTTGCGTCATCCATTTAGCCATCCACACTCTTTACAGTGTAAAAATTTGAAAGTTCCATTAGCTCTGGTCTGGGGTTGACAAATTTTCGAAGCGTCGCTTGCATATTGGCGGCTGTTCACTTTTTAAGCCTAAGTTTAAGTGCTTAGGCCATTTTTGGATTAAATTGAAAGTTTTGTCGTCTTTTCAGCCATCTTTCCTCTTTAAAATGTCAACATTTCAAAGCTCTGTTGGACCTGGTTTAGAGTGTGTGAATTTTTGAAGCGTTTCTTGCAGATGGGCGGTTGTTCACTTTTTAAACCCAATTTTCAATGTTTAATTTTAAATTTTGTAATTATCGTATACAGTTGAATTTTTCAAGATCTCTTTTGGCGCTTCTGCTCTTTATGGGGTAAACAAATTCAAAGCTGTGCTGGCTCTGGTTTAGAATTTATGAATGTTTGAAGCGTCGCCTGCAGATTGACGATTTTTCACTTTTTAAGCCCGCTCGCTTGCACATTGGGGCGATATTCACTTTTTAAGCCCAAGTTTGAGTGTTGGTTTCAAAATCAGGGCCCTGTTAGTTCCAATTGAAACTTTCACCATCAATTTGGCCAAAATTGATGGTGAAATTTCAAACTTCTACCGGACCTGCTTTAGAAATTACAATTTTTCCAATCATTGCCTGGGCTTTCTTCTCAGTTCCCCAACTTTGCTGGTCCTTTCCATAACAAAGCTTTGTTGAATTGCATGAAAACCACTCCTTATCCGCTCTTTTTTGAGGAAAAAAACCAGTTTTTCCCCCAAAAACCATGAGCAAATTAACCGAGCCACCAAACCTGAATGAATCCAGTTTGAAAAAATCTATTTGTTAATTTAAGAGTGTGTTGCTTGCGTTAAGCAAGCGTGAGTGTTTTAACAGTTTCTAGAACATCTGACATCAGACTAGCCGTTCGAGGCTGGTCGTTAGCCCGAACTTTCTACAGGGTGGCCGTAAAACAACACGCCGAACGGTTTCTGAAGGTGACTTGTGCAGGATGGAATATTGTATTACATAGAAAATACAGGCGGGGCTTATAAGCAAGTGAGTTGTAATGGAGCTTTAGCTCGAATCTATCAAACACATATCGGTGCGATTTTATGCAAATATGTGCTTGGAAATAGACTCGGAGCAGCCAAACGCGTTTATTTAGCAAAGCCATGAAAAATCTGCATAATCCTGTCTAGTGCGCAGTTGAAGGCCTACCGAAAGCGAAATATTCTAGTATGGAATCGGTCCAATCGATATTTTCCTAACATATGTGGGGATTTTCACAAAAAGCCGCTTTTTAAGAAAGTTAGGGTTGCAGCAATCGACTGGCTCGGGTTCATCCATGCGAAGAGACGACCCGATCCACCTTGGTTGAACGTTATAAAACGAAAACAATGAATTATTTACGCCTCTAAAGTTAAATTTCAAATTAGCAATAAAAAACCGGAGACAAATAATCAGTCGCGAAAACACTTTGCGATGGTCGTATTTAGCAGCCATGCGAACAGCTCGTGATTGCACCAAACAAATTAAATAACGCTATCAAACAAGGCCACAAAAAGACGAATAATTAGTGTTTTTGTGTGGTGTGTGTGTTGGACCATTTTATATTTTTCGTCAAACTAACACGTTGATTATTATTAGCATGTGGATGTGAAAGAGCACTGGACGAAACACAATCTTGGCACTGGCTGCACGATAAACACATCTTGATGTTTATACATATACCATCCTCGTTTCCTTGCTTTCCTGTTTATTTCGGGTTCATTATAAATTCATTGCCTTCATCTTTGTCGTTATTTATAACTGAAGGGATCAGGTTTTTTGGCAACGCCTTCCAAACTATACAACGCAGCAAAATTTCCCATTCGACATCGTTTGAAACGCTCTTGGCTTCAACGGAATACGCTTTAGTGGCAAACTTCGCCCTGACGTTTCGCTAGCGCACGTCGCTTGCATCTTCAGAGGTAGATTGCTGGAACCATCGGTTTAAACGC